TGTAGGTGCTGTGAAGTCAGACTATGAAAGCCCAAAGCATCAATCTCAACAATAAAGCTCTACTTCTGCTTGAGACAGACAGACTGAGTCCATGATCCTGGGTACCCACTTTGCTCCAAGAAGTCCTGTCTGCTCTTTCCTTCAGAGCATGGTCATGAGAGTGGACTGAGATGCAGCATCTGAACAGTCCTGGGCATAAGATTCCCAACTCACACTGTAGCTAGTTGGAGTAAACTCTGTGTATAAAAAGCAGGGAACCCCCGACCACAGCCTAAGAGTATGTTTGATAGCAATTGTTTGTGTGTATAGATGGTTATTTTTCTCCCATTAGCTGTGAGGTTTTGAAAGTGAGCAAAGCTGGTTGTGGTTTAACTGTCCTTAATTTATCTTATGACACCGTAGCTACCGCTTGCACAACCCCAACCAGTAGGGGTCAGTTTGAGCATGCGCATTTTCCTGGAATCAATGACATTTGACAGAGCATGTACACAAAAGAAGCCTGAGAAAATAACACATCATCAGCCACACCAGCGCCCTCCCGCCACCCAGGCTGTCGCCTCCACCACCTGTGCTCTCCCTCTCTGTGCCGCCTCATTCAGGGCAGCCCAGGCCCAGTGCGGAAGGAAGTTGCTCAGAAGTTGGAAGCCACAGGAGACACTGCCTAGTAGTGCCTGGCAGTGAAGTCAGCTGTGCAAAGCTCTCAGTGATTTGCAAGTTTCCCCTCTTTGCTTCTACTCTTTCCCAACGTAGATATAGTTCCGGGTCTCTAAGGAGAGGGCCAGGGATTGGGCCTGAAGAATCTGATCAGATTCATGAGAATGAAGTAGACCTAATTAAATTTAACCATTCTTGTATCATGTGAGTCTAATTTTATTTCCAAATGGGAATCTCTAGTTGATTTCCAAAAGAACATATTTCACAGAAACTGAAGCTGACTGTCAAGAAATAAACAAAAAAGTTTTCCCAATTTTAAATGAGACATTGTTTACTTTTAATGTATAAATGTTTTTATGTTAAAAGGATTAGTTAGAGAAAATAGAAAAATATACAATCTCTTATCATTTTTTCACCCTCTTACCATATATTGAATGTGTTGTTTTATGCCTATGACTGCAGAAATACAGAGACACATATCAGTGAGTGTCATACCTGTTGGTATTATTACTCAGTAGAAGAAATGATCAAAGGACATAAATAAACGTTTCACAGAAAAATAAATATAGGATTGCAATATATGAAAAGATGCTCCTTTTAACTCACAGTAAGAGAAAAGCAAATTACAACTGTGATGAGAGACTATTTTTCACCTGTCAGATTAGAAAGTCCTGAGACACACTCTTGGCACTCACCAACACTGATGGAATTAATGGTGCTCTCTCTATCGTTGGCAAGTTTGCAATACTTATCAAAATGACCAATGCACTTTCAAAATGACAGAAAACAGCATTGTAATTTTATCATTTTTTATTCTTTTCTTCTTTTTTTTTTGCTGAGGAAGATTCACCCTGAGCTAACATCTCTGGCCAGTCCTCCTCTATTTTGTATGTAGGTCGCTGCCACAGCATGGCTGATGAGTGGTGTCGGTCCATGCCCGGGAACTGAATCTGGCTGCTCAGCTGGCGTGTGCTGAATTTAACCACTACACCACTGGGCTAGCCCAATATAATTTCTGCAATTTTTTTAAGAGCAAAAGATTGGAAATGACCAATGATATATCACAGGGAACTGATTGTATAAAGTGTTGCACATTCAACAGTGAAATATCATGCAGCTGTTTAAGTGTCCCTCTACACTGACATGGAAAGAGCTCTAGGATGTTTAAGGGAAAAAAGAAGTGCAGAATAATGTATATCGTTTACTACCTCTGTGTAAGAATGGAGGATATGAGAATATATATACAGGCATATACCTTCATATGTACACTCATATTTGCATAAATAAAAACTGGAAGGATGCACGAGAAACAAAAGTATGGCCTGTAAGAAGCGAGGAGGTAGAGACAGTGGTTGAAGCAAGATCTCTTAATGCATTTTTTAGAGTGTTTTAAATTTTGAACCATGTGAGGTGTTGTCTAATGATCTACCAGTATTTACAGGGTCATGCTATGCATATTATTTTCTCAACAACTTTTTCTGATTAATTTTCCACTTCTTTAAACAATCTACAGTTTTTGAAGATGTATAGTAGGCAAACTAATTTTTAGTTTCTTATTGGGAATTTGGGTTAACTTGGAGCTGCTATAAATGATGCTACAGTGAGTGAACATCCTTGAATAAAAAGCTCGTACATATCCTTCGTTTCCTTAGGAAATCAATGGGTGGAATGGTTTGAACACATTCCTGGCTGCAGCATGTTCTCCCTTGTGTGACGGGCTCTGTGATGGCTCCTCGTTGCGTGCGATCTGGGACAGCAGTGCTGGAGCTCAGGAGATATTTCAGTTACTTGCTGGATGCAACCCTGGTGCACATTAGAATTACTGGAGGAGGTTTTTTAAAGTCTGATGGTTTGTTGTGATGAAGACTGGACCTCAGTGGTTTTTAAAGGCTCCAAAAATAAGAGCTGCTGGAATAATGGGTAGAGCAGCAGGTGCTAAGTCAGGCAGACCTGGAGTCATGTGGACCTGGCACTACTCCATGTTTAATCTCGGGTGTATTTCCTAGCCTCTCTGGGACCCAGTCTTCTCATCAGTGAGATAAGTGTCATGCCCATATGTGCTACAGCAAGAGCATTAGAAATAAAGCATGCAAACTTCCTAGCAGAATTCCTGATGCTCACTAAGTCATAGTTACTTGATGTTATTCAAACTAAAAAAACGAAAGCAGGCAAGTGAAAAAAGGAATAAGATAACATGACAGAGTCCATGGATTTACCCAGATAAAATTTCACGGCTAATGAAAATGTTACGTTTCTAGACTTTCGGGTGAATTGTGTTACATTGGTATAGTACCTTCTCTGGTTATCTTTTATTACTCAGATTTTCTAATTGGCAGTTATATGCAAGTTTGATTAATATAAAGGGGAAAATCAAATATTATTTAATTGTGACCTGCTTGATTGACAGAAAGTCTTCAAAATGAAGTGTCTGAGGGAAAGAATTCCAAAACAGCAGAGAGAATTCATAAGGGGGAAATTTTGAGAATCGTTGCCTCGAGGTTTCCCTCTGTTACAGCTGAGAAGTGTATGGAGACTCTAGCTCTATAAAGACATTGAGACATGAGTGTTTTCATGTGGAATTGTGTACATCTTTGCCTAGTTTCCCATTGCACACCTGTGGATGCAACCTGTTCTTGTATTCATTTATCCAACCAGGTGCTGTGGACTTTAATCACAGAAGTCCTATGGGTGGGTGGAGGTTAGTGTATAAAAGACTTACCAGCATAAAAATTCTGTGACAGGTTGGCCTATGACCGCTGAATTGTCCGAACAGCATAGGAGCAAGAAGAGGAGGTGTGGACATGTGAAGAGGCAGTTCTCTCCACCAGCTCTTAGTCTAATAAGGAGGGAAATTTTCCTGTTTTAATTGAAGCTAAAGTAACTTGGATAAGTAAGCTGGGTAAATTTAGACAATGTGACATGATCAATAACAAATCGCACAGCTAGTTAGAGGCAGACCAAGGAGCCAAGGCTCTAACTATGGGGTGTGAGGTGTTACTTCTGTGCCAGTGTTCCCCCCACCACAACACGTGGCAGTCATGCTGTGGTGGAAAAGCACATGATGGCAAAGGATGTATATCCTGCCTCCTACCTTGGAAATGCACCTGGACCTACCAGAGGCTTCCACAGGTGATTCTGAGGACCTCCGAACCCATCCAGTCTAGGGCAGGAGCCAGGGTGTCAGAATGGGGCACCCAGAGAGCACCATCAATGGGATACTTCTGCCGGAGGCTCTCAGTTCATTTCATTAGCAACCCCCAAAAAGCGGTTGCAAATTTAGGACACAGGGTCACAGAATAAAGAAGGATTTTCATAGTGTTGATAAGAAAGTGACCAATTATTATAATAACAGAGTATATACATGAGGAGAAAACACAGATGCAGGCACAAATCCTTAAGAGAATTCTCACTTACTCCTTGGAGGATGCCTTTAGTAGAGAAGCTGTGCAGGTTTTGCTTTGTTTTGCTTTTGCCAGTTGACAGTGTTTGAAAGGAAAGCCTCCTGATAGTAGGTAAGAAGATACTGGCTCTGAGTTCAGAGAGACCTGGCTTTAACTGACTATTATTTATAAAATAGTGACCTTGATCTAAGAACTGAATCTCTCCAATATCTAGACTGTGGACTATAATTGTACCTACCTATAGGGGCTATCAGGGTATTAACGGGATTGCCTGGTGCCTAACAGAAACTCAGAGTCCCTATTCCGCACACGGCTAAACTTTCTGTGGGGAAATGAGATTACAGATGATTCAAAAGTAGAAGTGCCAACAGTGGATGCTAATGCTGTTGAGGACTTGCAAGTACCAGGCATTATTAACTCATCTAATCCACACAACTCCAGGAGACAGGGTGCTGTAACTCCATTCTACAGATGAGGAAGTTATGGCACAGAGAGTTCAAATAGTTTGCCTGAGGTCACACAGATGCTAATACTAGACCCAGGATTCAATCCCAGGCAGTGGGAGTTCAGAGTTCAGGGGCTTAGCCTCTTGGTGTGAGGACCAGAAAACACGGTGCTTGTGAAACATTAGTGTAGACCTGAGCACACACAGCGCAAGTTGTGCTAGATGTTACACTGATGCCATCAGAATGTCCAGGACCAAATGAGTGTGAATCTGGTGATCTTTGCAAGAGAAATAAACTGGGTGCCTTCAATTGGCTGTGGCTCCTCTTGGAGCCAGTGCCCGAAAGAAAGCTGCATGACCACCATCTCAGGGAAAGAATTAGAGCGGTGTATTGATCATCATTACAGCCAACACTGGATTTGATGGCTCAGGTGTCAGGCTGTTTCTTACCCTTGACTTTCCATTATATTTCATCTAATTAAAGTACACAAAGACAAATGTAGACTTGTGATTTTTTTTATTGTGCCTAATGTGAAAAACAAAGTACAGTATTCAAGTAGCAAAGATGTTATATTCAGGGTGTGTAAAATGGAAGGCTTCAAGGTGGTTCTGGTTAAATGGCCCTAAGGGACATGACTAGAGCAGCATGCTGTCTGTACTCAGAAGGCATGGTCATTCAGGTCCTGGAGGAGCTGATGGAGATCACGGAGACAGTGGTGCTAAAGGACCACTCCCAACCCCACCCCTGAGTAATGGCAGAATTCATTTTGTTACAGATTCAGGTTTTCTGTTTGCCCAGTGGTTTGAAAAACCATTATACAATAATGACAAGATAGAAAACTACGCTTGTGAACTGAAAGAACCCAAATGTAGAGAGAAAGCCCAGCTAGATCCTCAGGAGACACAGTTAGGGAAAATAAACACTGGAGACAACTTTCCTTTCTTGTACCACCATCTGTCATGAACTCCGTGCGTTGCCGCAGACTGCTGTTCTCCGGAGCAGACAGGAGGCGATGATGGCCAAGTGTCCGGCACTCGTGAGGAGCAGGAAGAAGTAGGTGTAACAGCCTGAAGTGTAGGTGAGCTGCAACTGCAAGATATCTAAGAGAAGTTGTTTGATTAGTTTTGACTATTGCTATGAGAGGATGGGACATATGAATAGAGGGTGGTCACAGTTGTTTATTTCTGATGACCTACGTTGCAGTGACACCCCACCATCCAAACCCAAAAGTAAACATCTACCACCACCACCACCACAGACAACAACGAGACAACTCAGCATCCAGTTTACAGGCCACGTCAATCAACAACCTCTTCTAAATTCACTTAGACCATTCTAAACTATGAAAGTAAGGTGCATTTTTAATGAATGAGTCCATGAGGGCAAAAGTATTTGTGATAAACAGCTTTTAGCATTTCTTCACCCCTACAATATCTCTAACAAATCATAATAGCTAAGATTCATTAACTACTAACCAAATGCCAAACACTTGTTCTGAAAGCTTTGCAAGCAAAGTTTTAGTCTTAAGTTTTACAATAACCTGTGAGATGATTATTTTCATTCAGTACATTACATTCAGTCAGTACAGAAAAATTCCTTCTGATTTATAGGTCCTCTGGGACCTTTGCTCTGTTGTGTTCATGCTCAGGGCTTTCAGTCCCGAGACTAGAGAGTTACTGGACCACTGCTGGGACCAAAGCACGTTCAGTCCTCTGCCCACACTGTCTCATTATGTGCAGCATCAGCGTCAAAGGGGTTCCTTGGGCACATCATGCCTGAATCACGCCTGATTAGGAAAGAACGTTTTCTCTTACAATAGTGCATCCTCCTTGGGACAGTAAGTCACGCTAGTGTCCTCATCTACACATCCATTCCAGGCTTGGCACAGGCCAGTTCTGCAATGAATGTTTGTTGAGCTACATTTACCAATGGCATGAAATACATTCATTATGTAAAATGGAAATACGTCTGTAGACATAAGCCTCACCCAGTCTCCAATTATAAAATTTTAGCTTATGGTAGTACATAAAATACAAATCTGGAAAACTGATGACTGTAATAAAACTGCAATGGCCAAATTATTCTATTTCTGGTTGAGTCATGATTTGGCTCCATCAAATGAACACAATTTTGTCACCTAATAGCATTGTTTTGGGGTTGTACTCTGAGGATAGCAAGGTGAAAGTGAGAGTGACTCTCCTTGCTGGGTAGAGCGTTCCTGAAAGATGTATAATTGCTCATATTTCTTGATCCATCTCTCTTTGATGCATGCCTTGTGTTTCTGAGTTGTTAGCTGCTTTCACATATGTTGTTTCATTTAATCCATAAAGAACTCTAAAAATATCACTAAGATCTTAATATTTTGGATGATGAAACTGAGGCTGAGAAAAGTTTAGGAAATTTTTTCTTTTCCTTTTTGTGTTCCAAGGCCCAACTATTCTAATTCTAAAGGGAAAGAGAGGGACATTTATGTCACCAATAACAACATATAAGACACATTTATATTTGTTTGTTTTCCCTTAATACTTGACAGAAAAGCTGGGATATTCCCTTTGAAAGAAAAGTTCTGGCAGGTTATATTTACATTGACATACCATCATTCTCTGAAGGAAAAAGAATCTCCTGGTCAACCCCTCCTTTATTATTCTCGTGTTGGACGATACATTTGTGTTCTTTATTCAATGACTTTTCAGTCACGGTCAGCCAGCTGAGTTTCATGTATGTGTCATTAGTTTTCATGGTTTTTCCCTCCTGGGATTCCAGAATTGTGTTGCAATTCTTTTGTTTCCAATATACCTTAATAACGTCAGGGAAGAAATTCTCAAGAAGACAAATGTATGTTCCAGTCCTATGGAGGTTGATTTCAGCAATTGAAGGAAGAAAAATGGTAGGCTTGGGAGAAATGTTTGCAGGAAGGCGTCTATCTGTGGGGGAAAATGGAATAGCAATTAAAAAGTATTATCAGAGAAGCACCAATAATGTGTGATTTACAACAATCTAGCACATAGTAAAAGAAGAAAAGCTGCCATTGAATTAGTGCTCACCATGGCCTTTTATCCACAATGGGTTGTGAGACATATATTGTTCTCATTTTCAATGGAAAAAGTGGTTCCAGATGTTAGGTAACTTGCCCAGAGTCACAGCTATTAAGTAGCAAGACCTGGATTAAAACTTTGTGTTTTTTCTTTCTCCACATGCTAAGATGGGGGATGACTTTTAATTGTACCATTACAAGGCTTCTAATATTCATGAACACACGTATTTTTAAAAATCTCTTACGTTCTATCGTAGCGGAGCATGCTTTCAAGGTGGGTGGATAGGTGGTGGGAATGGGGGAGGAGACCAGGTAACTTTGATGCTCTCTCTACACGTGAGAATGTCTGGTCCTTTCTAAAGTACTTCCCTTTTCCTATCCCGTGAATTTTGTAACTTATGCTCTTTTGGCCAGGTAACCCTTTGTCATGCTCTGCAACTCTGAAACGTCGCTTCATTTAACTGTTTCTGGAATGCACCACATTTGTCTTATTTGTCATATAAATAAATATCAGGAAGAAGTTTTTCATTTTTTAAAAACAATGCACAGTCACCTGTTAATGGGAATCTATTTCCACATGTACTTGACAATCAAGTTGATCTTTTAGCTCAAATGTGGATCTCTAGCTCTGTTCTTACACAATGGAGTTATCTTACCAGATGTCTAACTTTATATAACATCTCATTTTCATATCTGAACCCCCCAGATTTTTGAGTAGGGCACTATTTAAGCTGCAGCTCCAAATTATTTACAAGCCTTGAATTTAAAGATTTTATTTTTTTCCTTTTTCTCCCCAAAGCCCCCCAGTACATAGTAGTATATTCTTCGTTGTGGGTCCTTCTAGTTGTGGCATGTGGGACGCTGCCTCAGCGTGGTTGATGAGCAGTGCCATGTCTGAGCCCAGGATTTGAACCAACGAAACAGTGGGCTGCCTGCCGCCGAGCGCGTTAACTTAAGCACTCGGCCACGGGGCCAGCCCCTATGAGCCTTGAATTTAGAAGCAAAATAACAATGTTTTTAAAACTTCTATTAATAAATTGATTATCTTAAAAAATGCTATTACGTTAATCTTATCAAGCAAGGCACTCATCAGAATTTTGTTTCACTTTAGAATATGTTCTTCAAAAGCACATTTTATTTTGGAATTTCTTGAGGTTTAAGCGCGACGAGGAATACAGTGTATTTTGATTCTCATTGTCTCCTCCAAAATTTGTATCTAGCCTGTAAGGCTGCTGAACTGTTTTAGAGCTCTACTATTTTATTTGTCATCACCTGCTGAATAAAGTATATATGTAATTGGTGTAATATTAAATGTCACAGTTCCAGAGTCTCTTGCAGACATAATGTCAAAATGTATAAGAAAACATCATTGTTTAAAAAAAACATGCCAGTTGAATGCTGGAGTGCTACTTGATTATACATTTGCTGGTAATCTAATGATGGGAATTATAAATATTAAAATTCTTTCCACTTTGATCTCCAATTGACATTCAAACGCTTTACTAATATTCTCTTTGTGCTAGCTTCAAGTTAAATAATTCAATGGACAATTTCTTAGGAAAAGGAGAAGTAGATTTCTTATTTGAGAAGAAAAGAACAAATATTCTTCAGAAGTTATGTCTGTATAGCAAAGTTTCTGATTTTTATAGTAAAGTAGTTAAGCAAACAATGTCGAGTTTTGGACTCATGCTGTAAATACAATTAAGTCATATTGTGCTTATTTTAATTTTATACATCTTGCTTTTAGCGTAAATGGTATTTTATTGATTATAATAGTAAGACACTATATTTCTCCAACCTTATACTTTGTTTCTAATTCAAAAAGCGTGTTATATAAAATGAGATTAATTTTTCAATCATAATTGTATTTACATAATTTTAGTCTTTACTCAATATATTAAAGAATGTAATGTTCATCTTAGGAACTTTTGTTTCTTCATAGGAATGCTTCTGATTTATTATATAAAGAAATTGAAAGTAAAATGATGAATTAAAAAATTTCTGCATGACAACACGCTATTCTTCCCTCTTGTCTATTTTCCTCACCTAGATTTTCTTTCATTGTTTTCAGGATAAAATGAATCTTGAATTTCCATAACTTTCTCAATATAGTAGTTAACTGAGGATTAAATAGTGTACTTGTGTAAATATGGCTAGTGCCTATACTTTAAATCATTATATTACATGTTTTTCCTTAAACATTTTTAAAAAATTATTAACAGTATTTTTTTAGGTGAAAATAATTTTCAGGATTCATGGAATGGAAACCAGGTAAAAAAATAAACAAGCCTGTCTAATGCATTTATATACATTCATCTGCATAATCCAATGATACATTTGAGTGGAATTGCCTGAGTTGTTTTTATTTTGTTAAGATGCAGCAGTATGGGGCCGGTCTGGTGGTGCAGTGGTTAAGTGTGCATGTTCTGCTTGGGCGGCCAGGGGTTCGCTGGTTTGGATCATGGGTTCAGACATGGCACCGCTTGGCAAAAGCCATGCTTTGGCAGGCGTCCCACATATAAAGTAGAGGAAGGTGGCAGGGATGTTCGCTCAGGGCCAGTCTTCCTCAGCAAAAAGAGGAGGATTGGCAGCAGATGTTACCATGTTAGCTCAGGGCTAATCTTCCTCAAAAAAACAAAACAAGGGGCTGGCCCCGTGGCCGAGTGGTTAAGTTCGCGCGCTCCGCTGCAGGCGGCCCAGTGTTTCATCAGTTCGAATCCTGGGTGCGGACATGGCACTGCTCATCAGACCACGCTGAGGCAGCGTCCCATATGCCACAACTAGAAGAACCCACAACGAAGAATACACAACTATGTACCGGGGGGCTTTGGGGAGAAAAAGGAAAAAATAAAATCTTTAAAAAAAACAAAACAAAACAAAACAAAACAAAATATATTAAAAAAAGATGCAGCAGTATGAATTCTGACATAAATTTACCAAATGTCAACTACATTTTTCATTGAAAGTACGATGCCTCAAACCCACATATTGATATTGATTTAAGCGTTCTCTAGCTTCTTCTTGTAATTTTTCTTTTATCAAATAATTATAGCTATTTCATATTTCAATATGTATTTCAGACTTTTGACATATTACTTATATAGTTGACTTAACATCTTGACAATTTTCTGTTTAAATTTAAACTTTTTTCTGGTAAATATGAGCATGAAGCTCAAACTTGTTGGCTGTTTATTTTAGGGCCAATAACAGTTAGTGTTAGAGATGACAGCAATTAAAATAAAGGATTAAGATGTAAAGCACATAGAACAACAAGAAAATAATAAACAAACACATTTCAATCTCATCTTCCTTGCCAAGTGATGGAAAATTCTGCCAAAGACAAACAAATAACTCCAAATTCATTTTTGTATGTGAGTGGACAGTAAGATGAGTTTCCACTTGAGCTGTTAGAGGTCCAGCTAATCCTCTGGCAGTTGCTGCTCTGTCAGTGTCATTGGCTGCAAACAACTCTCCTCACTAGATGCAGTTTTCCCTTCACATTGGAATCAGGGGAACATGTATCCAGCACCTGTTATGAGTTGGACAATGTTCCAAGTGCTTTATCCACACAGTTTCATTCGATTGCCATACAAGCCCTGCTGGATACACACTGTCATCCCATTTTATGGATTAGGAAACTGAGGCCAGGCAATAATCGCCCAAGTTCACATAAGCAGGACACAAGTGGTGGAGCCAGGCCAGCCTGACTCCAAAGCCTGGGCTCTTTGACAACACCCTCTCACCGTTAGAAAGGAAATGTGTCAACTCACACATTTACCAGTGATTATAAACTGTCCGTGGGCCAAACACTTTCATGATAATTACATACGTTCTACTTGAGTCCTTTATGAAAATCCACCTGTGCACAAAGCCAAACCCTATTGTCACATTTGCACAATGTTGGCTATGCTGTTCTTTGTCATAAGGATTTGTTTTAAAACCTCTCCTAAGATTTCTTCATCCCTCCCCATGACATTCCTGCTTTTCCTAGTGTTTCTTAAGTATTGTTCCAATTTAATTGCTTCTTGCCTTCCCTCTATTACCTTGGAAATTTCCATTCTTCCGATATCCTTTGACAACAAGTTTTGTTCCATCACCGAGGAATTTTGTATAATAATTCCACAGTTAATCAACCAGAATGAAAAACTTTAGACTAATTTCCACAGTAATCAACCAGAATGAAAAACTTCAGACTAATTTAACTTCTCGGAGTTCTTCAAATTCTAGGGAACTATACTGGCCTGCGACTCAGGAGACCAGGGATCCGGTCCTGGCGCATTTTGCTGGGTAACTTGCCGCAGCTTCTACGTCAGCACCTGCTGCTTCCCCTTGCAGTGCCCCTTTAAGTTACGGAGATGGCTTCTTTCCTTAAACCTCATGAGCCAACTGTCCTAGCTTCACCCTTCTGCAGCGTCCTCAGCTCTCTCAGCCTTTGCAGAATTGAAGAGCATTAGGGCCTTGCTCTGGATTAGGCTTAAAGGCATGTTTGTGGCTGTTTGATCTTCTATCCAGACCACTCAAACTTCCTCCATCTCAGCACTAAGGCTGCTTTGCTTTCTTATCATTCATGTGTTCACTGGAGTAGCACTTTTCATTTCGTTCAAGAACATTTCCTTTGCAGTCACAGCTTGGCTAACTGGTGCAAGAGGCCTAGCTTTTGGCTTATCTCAACTTACATATGCCTTCCTCACTCAGCTTGGTCATTTCTCTCCTTTGATTTATAGTGAGAGACGCGCAGCTCTTCCTTTCGCTAGAACACTGAGTGGTCACTGTAGGGTTATTAAAAGGCCTAAGGTCACTATGGTTGTGTCTCAGAGGAGAGGGAGGCCCCATGAGAGGGAGATGGGGAAACAGTCAGCGGAGCAGTCAGAACACACACAACCTTCATCCATTAACTTTGCTGACGTAGATGGGCCCGGTTCATCGTGCCCCAAACAATTACAAGAGTGACATCAAAGATCACTGATCACAGATCACCATAACAAATATAATCATAATGAAAATGTTTGAAATATTGCGAGAATTTCCAAAATGTGACTCAGAGAAATGAAATGAGCAAGCGCTTTTGGAAAAATGGAGCTGATATACCTGCTTGACGCAAGGTTTCCACAAACCTTTGCTTTTTAAAAATTGCAATTTCTACAAAGTGCAATAAAGCGGCACACAATATAATGAGGTATGCCTGTGCTTGTGTATTTGATTTTAGGTCTTCTCAAATAGACTCTGGAAAGAGGCAGTTGAAATAAGTGACAAATTGTTTGTGCATTATAATTTATTCATTTTTCTGCCCCAGCAGTTGATAGTTTAGTGAGGTCTAACTCAAATGTGACGTGAGAGGTGGGAGAATATGTTTGAAAATCTCAACTCTGTGATATAGACACAAAATATGCTGAATTCAAACAGACTGAAAGTGCAAGAACATAAAGTAAGGCTCTCTTTCTCAAAACTATCCCTCAGAAAACAAGGGTCATCTTATGTTTCAGTCCTTGTGCAACCTGTCATATTAAAAGATGCTCTTCTGATACTCTGCTGTGATCAAAAACTACTGCTGGGACAAGATTTCCCCTGAAACGAACTCACTTAATGCCACTCTTGGAGCTAGGACTGGTAAAAGAAAATAGAGAAATTGAACATGGATTTGGTAAATATTACTTGGGAATAAACCTCTACAGTTTATTTTTACATTGCACATTTAGAGAATAACAGAATAAATGAAAAAAAAATGCTTTCCTTTTATTTTATAAATGGATAATTGTGTCTTTAGATAAAATATCCAGTGACATCATCCTATGGGCATCCCAAAACAGACACTCAGCCCCTGTGATGACCTGGAATGCTGCTCTAAGGTAGATGTTTCAAATGCACGTGAAGACTGTGAACAAAATTTTTAATGAAATGTGAGGACAAAAAAGAGCAATATTTCTCACCTGGTATTTGTATTAATATAATTTTTAACTTTGTGGCTATAATCCAATTAAGAAATTAAATATTATAAGTGGATATTTGACTTTTATCTATTTCATTATAAATTAACATATTCAATTTGCAAAAGCCCCTCTCTTTTTTTCTTCCAGATATTTCTACCGGAAAATGATAGATCACCTTATATTCAGGCTATTAAATTTGAGATAATGCTTATTATATTCTAATCATTTTTAGAAGCAGGTAACAATTAGTCTTCATAATTGAAAGTTTTTTCCAATTACTGACCATTTGTTCTAACGTGAACTGTAGACTAGATGGTAATTAGTACATTTATCTGTACTCCTGAATTCATAACAAATTCCAGTGGTGGTGATTTGCGTATTTTTATCATTGACATTTTTATCACTGACTATGTTGGTAATTTCCATATTTAATTTCATTTAATCCTCACAACATCCACTAGAGATTGTGGTTGCATGGATAGAATGAGTGGATGGAAATATACAAAAATGTTAACAGAGATAGTGTGTTGATAACAAATTTTAATTTTCTCTTTATCTTTTGTATTTTCCAATCCTTTTCATAAGAGGTAAGTAATGTTTTTATAATTTTAGTAGAGCAATAATGAATGAATCAAAATTTGTTTGCTAAAGGATGATTATTCAGAAAGCAACAGATCCAGAATCAAAGTCCATATTTTTCCCAGCAACACACTCTCCTAAAAACTATTTTTCAGGACCTACATGAATTATATCTCTGCCACTTTTAACTTGATTGCTACAATTTATATTGAACATATAATCACTTGGGAAAAACGGCACCAAAAAGTTGCTTTTCAATTTATGAATTCTATGTTTACATGATCACAACCACTAAGAAACCAAAATATATAATTTCTTTCTTTTTTTTCAATGTTTCATCAACTTTGTGAAAATTCTTTGAAAACTTTCGTTTCAAGGGATCTAGAGGCTAAGAACATCCTTGTGAGACAGTCTCCTTCATTCAGGCAAAGTTTCATCTTTAAGGCTAACGAGAACTGAATGAGTTTAACGGACTGAACTTAGGAACAAAACAAACTCATCTCATGACATCCTTGAATATGGTTGCCAGGTTAAGTATTTTAATAGTTGATGTTGCTCATCCTCTGACCAAATGACAGGTTTAGCAATTTTTGTTCAGTTTTCCCCATTAGTTATTTTTGGAACCAATAAATAAAATATCTAAACTTCATTACAAATCTTTTAATACGGAAATACCAAATGGACCTACATCTGCACTCCTTATGGGCTCAAAATTGTTCTAACTAGTCACTCCTTGTGAATCTCCTCCTTGCTAGGTCAGATAGAGAACAGCCTGCAAGGGCCTGGTTGGAATTAGAACACTTCTCCACTAGACTAGAAGTTTTGGGAGTATTGGGTTTTTTTTCTATCTTTATCTTTTCCCCCATTTATCTCCAGCATCCAGCACAGATGCTGCCTTCAGTGAATATTTGCTGACAGAATGAATGAGCAAATGAGGATGTAAAAGCATGAAGACTCTTCTCATGCACTTTGGAGCAGAAATGGCTTACTGATCTTAGAAATTCCCAAAACTGGCCCATCGCTAAGCAATTGAACAAGAGTTGTGATAGCATAAATTTTGACTGATATCCTACGTCTAAGAAACTAAAGTAATAAGAAGAGAGATTTATCGATGTTCTATAATCATTTACTTGAAGAATTAATGTTTTGTACTGCTATTAAGGATGAGATGAAAACCAATATATAGGTTTTGCAGATTATTGTGAGAAAGGAGCACTATGATTTATCTCAAAATATAGAGAAGAGGTAATTAATAAAAGTGTCTCTCAGGCCAGCCCGGTGCTGTCCAGCTAAAGATTGTGTGCTTTGCTCTGGCGACCTGGGGTACGTAGGCCCAGATCCCGGGTGCAGACATACACACTGCTTATCAAGCCATGCTCTGGCAGGCATCCCACATAAACAGTAGAGGGAGACGGGCATGGATGTTAGATCAGGGCCAGTCTTCCTCAGCAAAAAGAGGAGGATTGGCAGTGGATGTTAGCTCAGGGCTAATCTTCTCCAGAAAAAGATGTCTCTGACTTAAGAGATGTTCTACAAGAAAAGTAACTTGAACCGATAACTTATACCACTAGTTTATAGATATGGTCCTCAAAGTATCTTATATTTCTAGCTTGAGTCTATCCTTTTTTCGCGTGTGTATTCTAAAAGTATAATTTAAATATACTTAGAATCAGGGAAGTGAACAAACCATTTATGAAGCAGTTTTATTTTCATGTATAATGACCGGTAGCTACAAACTTGCTTTCCATATGCTGAAACCGAGTATGTGGCACTCAGATAAAAGTGACCCTAAATTATTTTTTCCTAAAAACATTTATCAGTTTTTCATTACCAGGGTAAAAATAGAAAAAGTAGAAAAAAGTTACTTACCAGAGGGAGTTACTATGAGCTTAGTCCCTTTTCCAAATATCTTGATCCAGTATGATGTCACACTGGTTACAGCTTCTACAAAAACTCAGCCTTCTTTTAAGTTTCATGATGTAACTATCAGTAAAAAAACTATACTTGCAATTTGATTTTCTGGGTTCCTTTGGAAGTCCTTGAATAAAGTATTCTGCTACCAGAGATTTTTTCTTTTAAGTTTTCCTCAGATAAATTGTCCCAAACGTCTGTTTTACAACAAGGCAGTAATCATTAAAAAGCATTCAAAGAAAATGAAAAGCAAAGAAGAAAAATAAAAGAGATCAGACTCAACTCATCAACCAACTACTTTTCTAAATTACTGGGAAAAGCATTCAGAGAATTGCTTTTTTTTTTTTCTTTTCCAGGTGTTCAGTTGTGTTGTAACTGCTCAGAGATACATCAAAGAAATGGCCCTTTTGTTCTCACAAACACCAGGGCTGCCAATTTGGGAATGTATTTCTGAGAAGAAGAAACTCTTCAGTAATTGAAATGGAAATATACCAATACAAATATACTTGAGAAATGTGAACAAATTTCTTCATTTTTAATGAAGTCACCTTTACCATTTGGCAATATACTTATTCACCCAGCACTGTCAAATGAGAAAATAATTTCTGTGATAACATTACTTTTCCTGGAATAAAAGAAGAAATTTATACAATTCTATCACCTATGAAATGATAGATTGTTCATTTGAACTAAAATTTGAAATCATATCAAACATCTTTTGAGATCACAGGATGTGAAACTAGAAAGCAACTGTAAGAAGAAAGCTGAAAAAGTCACAAATATGCTACTGAATAAATATTGGAGCAATGAAGAAATCAAAGGAGAAATAAAACAAATACCTATATTAAAATGAAATGAAACACAACATACCAAAATCCATGAGATGCAGCAAAAGTGGTACTAAGAGAAAAGTTTATAGCAATATAGGACTACCTCTAAAAACAAGAGAAATCTCAAAATAACACTTTACCATTACACCTAAAAGAAGCAGAAAAAGAACAAATGAACCCCAAATCAGTAGAATGAAGGAAATAATAAAAATCAAAATGGAAATATATAAAATAGAGACTAAAAAGAAAATACAAAGGATCAATGAAACTAAGACCTGGTTCTTTGAAAAGACAAACAAAATTGACAAAACTTTCCTAGGCTCAAAGAAAAAAAGGGAGAATCCTCAAACAAATAAAATAAAAAATGGAAGAGGACAAATTACAACAGATACCAAAGAAGTACAAAGGAGTACAAGAGAACACTATGAAAAGCTATACGCGAACAAATTGGATAACCTGGAAGAAGTGGATAAATTCCCAGAATCATACAATTTTCCAAAATTGCATGAAGGAGAAATAAAGAATCTGAATAGGCCAAACACTTACAAAGAGATTGAAAGAGCAATCGAAAACCTCTCAAAATACAAAAGTCCAGGACCAGATGACTTCTATGGTAAATTCTACCAAACATTCAAAGATGATTTAACACTCATCCTTCTCAAACTTTTCCAAAATATTGAAGAGAAGGGGACATTTCCTAACTCATTTTATAAGTTCAACATTACCCTGATACCAAAAACAGACAAGGACAACACAAAAAAAGAAAATCATGGGTCAATATTGCTGACAAACATAGATGAAAAAATTCTCAACAGAAGTTTAGCAAATTGAATACAACAATACACTACAAGGATCATACACCATGATAAAGTGGGATTTTTTTCCAGGGATGCAAGTGTGGTTCAACACACACAAATCAATCAGTGTGTTACACCACATTAACTGAACGAAGAACAAAAATCATATGATAATCTCAATAGACACAGTGAAAGCATGTAACAAGATTCAGCATCCACTTATCATAAAAACTCTCCATTAAATGGGTACAGAAGAAAAATACTTCAACATAATAAAGGCCATATAAGTCAAACTCACAGCTAAGGTCATAGTTATTGGTGAAAAACTGAAAGCTACCCCCCAAGAACAGGAACAAGACAAGGATGCCCACTTTTGTTACTCTTATTCTACATACTATTGGAAATCATAGCGAAAGCAATTAGGCAAGAAAAGGAAATAAAAGGTATTTGAATTGGAAAAGAAGAAGCAAAACTGCCAGTATTTCTGGATGACATGATTTTATACATAGAAAACCCTAAAGAATCCACCAAAACACTATCAGAAATAATCAATGAAAACAGTAAATTTGTAGGGTGCAAAATCAACACATAAAATTCAGTTGTGTTTCTATACACTAACAACGAATTAGGAGAAAGAGAAATAAAGAATAAAATTCCATTTACAATTGCAATGAAAAGAATAAAATACCTAGGAATTAATTTAATCAAGGAGGCGAAAGACCTGGTACACTGAAAACTATAAGACAATGTTGAAAGAAATTGAAGAGAGCACACAGAAATGGAAAGATTCTGAGCTCATGTATTGGAAGAATTAATGTAGTTAAAATGTCCATATTACCTAGAGTAATCTATCAAGTCAGTGCAATCCCAATCAGAACCCCAATGACATTTGTCACCAAAATAGAGTAAAGAAACCTAAAATTTATATGGAAGAACAAAGGACCCCAAATAGCCAAAGGAATCTTGAGAAAAAAGAACAAACTGGAGGTATCAAGCTCCTGAATACAACATATACTACAAAGCCATAGCAATCAAAATAATATGATACTGGCAGAAGATTGGACAGACAGATCAATGGAACAGAATGGAGAGCCCAGAAATAAACCTACCACATCTATTTGAAACTAATCTTTGACCAAGGAGTCCAGAACACACAATGGAGAAAGAAAAGTCTCTTCAATAAATGATGCTGGGAAAACTGGACAACCACATGCAAAGGAATGAAAGTACACCATTATCTTATACCACACATAAAAATTAACTCAAAATGGATTAAAGACTTAGAATGTAAGACCTGAAACCATAACACTCCTCAAAGAAAACATAAGCAGTACACTCATTGACATCAATCTTAGCAGTATCTTTTTGAATACCATGTGTCTTCGGGCATGGGAAACAAAAGAAAAAATAAACAAATGGGACTATATCAGAATAAAAAGATTCTGCATGGCAAAAGAAATCATTGACAAAATAAAAAGACAACCCACCAATTGGGAGAAAATATTTCCAAATTAGATACTGGATAAGGGGTTAATTTCCGAAATACACAAAGAACTCATACAACTCAACAACAAAAACTGAGCAACCTGATCAAAAAATGGGCAGAGGATGTGAATAGACTCACATCCTCTTGTTTTTTCCAAACAAGATATATAGGTGGCCAAAGGAATGTGAAAAGATGTTCAGCAGCACTAATTATTAGGGAAATGCAAATTGAAACTGCAATGTGATGTCATCTCACACTCATCAGAATAGCTCTTATTCAAAAGACAACAGAAAAGTTTTAAAGAGGATGTGGAGCAAAGGGAACCCTCATACACTGCTGGAGGGAAGGTAAACTGGGGCAGCCAGTATAGAAGACAGTATGGAAGTTTCTAAAAAATTAAAAGTTGAATCATCCTATGATCCATCTATTCCACTTCTATTTATCCAAAGAAATGAAAACACAAATTTGAAAAGATACACGCATCCCTAGGTTCATTTCAGTATTATTCACAATAGCCAAGACTTGGAAGCAACCCAAGTATACATCAATGGATTAATGGATAAAATAGGTGTGCTATATATGTACAACGGAATACTATTCAGCTACAGAAAAGGATGAAAGGGTGCCATTTTTGACAACATGGATGGACCTTGAGGGTATTATGCTAAGTGAAAAAAGTCAGAGAAAAACTCCAAATCATTTCACTCATATGTGGAAGATAAACAAACATAGATAAGAAGAACAGATTGGTGGTTACCAGAGGGGAAGGGGTTGGAGGGAGGGCAAAAGGGGTAAAAGGAAACATATATATGGTGAGAGATGAAATCTAGATGTTTGGGAGTGCACATAATGCAGTCTATACAAAAGCTGAAATATAATAATACATGCCTGTAATTTACATAATGATACAAAAGAATGTGACCTCAAAATAGTAAAATTGATAAAAATTAAAAGATTAAAAAGTAAATCTCAGTAAATGGTAAAAAAAAAAAGAACTGAGTATTTTTACTGCTATCTGTAATACTTCATTATCCGTACAATGTAGGGAAAAAGAGATTTTCCAGCCCAATAAGCTACCCTGGGCACCCAAGCATGAACTTTGTCTCCAACTTGGAAGACGGGATCAGTAGGAATCAGGAGAGAAAACAGGTTTTGTTTTGTAAAAAAAGGAAAACTTGATAGAGAAAAGAGGAGAAAAAGTGGTCAAGAGAGAGCCCATTACAGCCCTTTCTAATCGCCAAATTTCACATGTGGTCTCTAAGTGCTCAATAATATGCAGAGATAATTTTAATATTATGAAACGTGTGAATTCTTTTCCAAAATAGAATTTAAAATAAAATTCAAAAGTCATAAGTGTTTTCTACTAGACAATTTGAAGACTACGGAAATGACATAGTAAAAAATATCCAGGGTCCCAGTGACCAGAGATGACCACCCCCGAGTCATGCCCTTTCCTCTGAACCCATTCTCAGGGCTGTGTAAAAAGAACTCCCAAGACGAAACAGTCAACATGAATTTCAGGGGAGTCTGGTAAATTTCTGAAATGTGATTTTCACAAAATAAATCCTGGGTACAGACATCATTTTCCTATGGCACTAGGATGTGTGGGGAGCTGGGTGACAGATATGTTACATGAAAATAGTGATTTTGAAGAATTTCTTGGATTTTCATTGGCATTTGTTAGACACTATAATGTTGCTTCTGTTACTCTGAGTCATTGCATCTCACCCACTTCAGGTCTGAAGGAAAATAAATTGATCCAAAATCATGAGCATCTTTCAGGCATCCAAGTCTACACAATCCCCCACCCACTAAGTAACGTGAGCACCACAATAATAATCAAAATATTCATCTCAATTCCCCAGACACTACCTGAGTCCCCACTATGTTCGGTGCTGTACATTCTAGTAGATGCTTTCAGAGTTTCTATGAATCAGCAATTTAAACCACCATTCAATTGGCAAACGCTCACTTAGGCCGGGGCTGGTTTCCTCTGGCTGGTTTGCCTTTGGTGAGTGTGGTCAAAGTGTCTTTGGGGAAGCTACCTCAGCCTAAAGGAGAAGGGCAGGAGGAGGAAGTGACTCTAAACATGGACTTGTTTTTCCCCCAATAGAGGTGGTTTGCTCCAAGCCCAAGGCCGCAGTCCTCACCAATGTGTGTAAGTCAAAGGGACTATCGATTGATGGAAAACATAGATTTGAATTGATTTGGGATGACTACTTGTGAGAGTCTCTTCATATCCAGCTAATCTCTCTTTAACTAAACTGTAATAATCAACCACACTGTGACAGATGTGGTGCTAAGCATTGGTATGCAAAATATGTGTGTGTGTGTGTGTGTTCCTGTGTGTGTATGTATGTTAGTTGTTTTGTTTGTTTTTTTATCAGCTATCATTACAGAGCTCTCATGCTTTCACGCAAAGCTTCCTCGTGGAGAAAATATAGAATTTGGCAATTCCACACACAGTCACTCACATGAATGTTTATCTAGAAAACTGCATAAAAGCATGCAGGTGGTCACTGCCCTTTCTCAGGTCATAATAGTGAGTGAGGAACCACTGAACATTTACTGACTGATGTGGCTCTAACATCCGCCACTGTGCACCTCCCAGAAGGCACAGTAGTAAGTGGCCGAGTCTTCTTCCCCTACGTTGTGAATGGGGAGGGTAGACGTAGAAGTTCCAGATATCTCATCTACCTCAAATTTGCCCGTCGGAACGCCTGACTCCATCCTGACAGTGCTGTCAGGTGAAACGCGTGGCAGGGGCTGCAGGATTTGACCCGATACCTGATACCAATATATGGATGTTGTAGAAATTGTTATGCCAGATACCACGTGTTGCAGGCGGGCTGTTTTTGACAGCCTTTTACCACCGGAAAGTTGAGGTTGCCCTAGATGACCTGCACCATACACACACACTGAAAAATAAGCGGAGGAGGACAGTAATGTGCAAAAACTTAGAATTTTTCTTTCCTTTATCTTTAATTTACATCTTTATAACACTGTGTGTTGAGTAAATATTTTTTCTTAAAAACAATTTTGTCTTTTATTAGAATTAGTAACCTCCATTTTTAAAATGAAGTCAGAGGTTTGCTAAAGAATCATGGAAGCTTAGACACTTAAAGATGAAAGGGGAACCCTTCCTACCAGAAGCCTCATTGTTTCCCATTTAGGAAGAGGAGAAGACAGCTCCCAAAATGCGAGCGACTCCTTCGATATTACAGGATTGTGAGCAGCCGAGGCAAGATCAGAACCCCGATACTGACCAATGCGGTCGCTTTGCTCACCGTGATCTGAGCCAATCAATCACAATGAGTTAGGGACTGAGAAAGGAAGTTTTAATTCAATTAGCCAGCGCAATTGGGAAGATGATAGACGGATGTCTCCAAAAAAGCCATCTTCCAAAATTACGGAATCTTGAGATAGTTATATAGGGAAAATGGGGCATAAGGAGTGAGTTTCCTTCAGGCATGACAGACTCCATGGTCTTTTACTCTTACATTCTTCTGTCAGCTGTGAGGGATACCTTGTAGGCCTGTTTCCCACCTGTGGTCAGGCCGTCCCTGAAGGGAAGCTAACAGAATAAAGTTTTAATTTATCAATCTATCAGGGACTACATACATAAGCTGAGGCCATAAACCAGGAGAGTGTGTGAATTTTCTAGAGTATGTGCAGAGCAGCGAGTAGTCACACTGAGGAGGGTGTGGGGCCATTTTGTGTGACAAGATGGCCTCACTTTTGCTCACTTTCAAATCCACTCCCTCCTTTCTAGTGTGCGCACCTTTTGTGGAGTGAACCTGTCATTTCAAATTCAACAACTTCATCCAGAGCACCCAGGACATGTCAGCTGTGGGGCCAGGCCCTTTCACAACATTAACCTCATGTTTACAACCAATGAAGGTAATGAAATTCTATGAGGCCACACTCGTATTCTCAGTCAACAGAGGATGACAGTCAGGCTCGCTGGACATTCCTCACAAAGGTCTTTTCAAAGACTTAACCAAGCCCAAGATTTATCAGGTTTGAGGGTACTTTTTTTTAAAGGACATGACAAGACACCATCAAGTGTCCATTCACAAGCCCTTAAGTAATTCAGAGAATGACACAAAGGTGTACTATAAAGAGATTATGAGAATTTGGTTTGAAGAGGAAAGAAGACATTGAGTATGATACGTCTTAAGGATGTGTGCTAAGTCAGGAAATAGGAAGAATTTAGAATGAAATGTATTATTGCCATTGGTGTTGGTGGCGCTGTGGGGTGCATAAGACAATAGATTGGTGTGTGGGAAGAAATTGCTACAACCACTATTTCTATTTGTTTTTATCACATATTTTTAAATTGTTAGTAGATAATTTTTCTTAAAAAATCATTTGTCTTTTGTTAGAATTAATAACCCCATTTTTAAAACCGAGTCATAGGTTTGCATAGGAAACAGAGAAGTTTACACACTTAAAAATGAAAGGGGAACCTATCCTATCAAAAGGCTCATTGTTTCTCATTTTTAAAGATGGGAAAACGACTCCCAAAACACAGGTAGCTCCTTCAATATTACAGGACCGTGAGCAGCTGAGGCAGGATCAGGACACCCCTCCCTCCTTTCTAGGGTGCGCACCTTTCATGGAGTGAACCTGTCATTTCAAATTCGACAACATCATCCAGAGATCCCAGGAAGTGTCAGACTTTGGGCGAGGCCCTTTCACAACATTGTTCTCTTGTTTGCAACTGGTAAAGGTAACGAAACTCCATGAGGCGACACTCGTATTCTCAGTCAACAGAGGATGAGAGTCAGGCTCCCTGGACGTTCCTCACAAAGGTCTCCTTAAAGAGCTGACCAAGCCCAAGATTTATCAGGTTTGAGGATACTTTCCTTTTAAAGAACATGAAAAGACACCATCAAGTGCCCATTCGTAAGACCAGAAGTAATTCAGAGAATGAAACAAAGGTGTACTATAAAGGGATTATGAGAATTTGGTTTGAAGGAAAAAAAAAGACACTGAGTATAATTTGTCTAAGGCATGTGTGCTGTCAGGAAATAGGAGGATCTGAGAATGAAATGTATTATTGTCACTGATGTTGGTGGTGTTGTGATTTAAAAAGTGGAGTGCATAAGACAATACATTGGTTTGTGGGGAAAAAGTGTTAGAAATACTATTTGTATTTGTTTTTATCATATATATTTAAATGGTTTATTTTTGTGTATGTTTTGTTGTATACAATGCATTTCTACCATAGTTCGTCTGACTGATTACTTAATAAATGAATAAATGTACATAATGAGGGTTTATTCACGCATAAAATAAACCCAAGAAAATTTTGAAAAAAAAAAAAGCAAGAAAACTTGCTTACCAAAAGGAAGAATTATTTTACTGGTATACTAATTAGAATAGAGTGTTCCTGGCACAGGATTAGACAAAATAGGGATTCAGTCTCATTTGTAAAAGTCAAGTTGACATACACAGTGTCCCACCCATAGCTGTATCCATAGAGAAACTGGCTCATGTAAGTGGACACACACAGTGAAAAGAAGAGAGAGAGAAGGAAGGGCTGTGTGAGCCTCTGGAAACTTAGTTATCACAGGGGTGACAGTGAAGAACACTGGGAGAAATGACGGATGAGTCAATAATTTGGGGGAGAAATTGGATCTCCATATTCAGGTTCCTACCTTACCCCATATACAAAAATTCAATTCAAAGCAGATCAAAGAAATAAATGTGCAGAACAAAGCCTTAACACTATTAGAAAAATATAAATGAAGATACATTTATGCTTCAACATAAGGAATAAACTTTCATAAAGCTGAAAAATAGTTAAAATGCATGGTCCCTGGTACAGTAGATCAAGTTAAACCTGGTTCATTGAGCGTACAATTCTTGCCTGAGGTCACAGAAGAAAGAAGGAACTGGAGTTTCCACTTGTGGTTCTGGTGGGATTGTCATGGATAAATGTGATAACCTGTTAGAGCAGCAGCATCCAGGGTGCCATAAGAGAGGAGGGGTTTGTGTGTTGGGAGGAAGCCCATGAGCACCTTTCTAGAATGCATTCTTGTGTCAGGCTGGGGACCCGCCCATTTCAGAGGGAGACAGGTCACCCTATCTGTTCCTGCCATGACAGAAGTTCTTAAAAATCAATCTGAATAAGAATCAGTGAGGAGGTCTTTGAAAAATACACACTTTCAGCTTTCATCCTAAAATTCTGATTTATTTTATAGGATGATACCCAGAACCTGTACTTTTATTCAAATCTCCCAAGTGTTTCTGTTGCAGCTGGTCCACGGACCACAGTTTGAGAAACAATGTTCTAGAAGCTTAAACTCAAAGCTAAAGTCAAGGTTAAGAGTTCTGGCAGAAAGCTGGAGGATCCAATAAACAAGAGACCATACATATGTCAATCTGGCATTTCTGTACTTCATTATTAATTTTACATCCTTAAACCTGGTCCAATATGGCAGCCATGCCCTTTCCCATATGACTTTTCAATTCAAATATATACTGTGTATTTTCTGATTGTTCACCCTAAGTGTCTCTTAATTTTAATTATGGAGAGCAAAATAATCTGTTAGACTCATTCCAGTTTAGGACTTGGCGGTGCCAATGTTTGGGGGAGGGGTGGAAAGGAGCTTTGGTTTCCCTTGTCTAAGACAGAACAATTCTGGGTGTGTCTGAACTTCAAAAGAAGCTGTGAGTAGAACGCAATGATTGGCATCTCTACAGCAATCACTTTATTCCTACACTTTCACTGTCTCAACAGCCATGGTTGGTTACGGTGAGGGAAATATCAGTTTGTCCAAGAGATAAATCAGATACCAGCCTGAGGTCTTCATGAAGTCCAAAGTTTTCATTCCATCATTTCTCATTCTCCTGAGTAAGGCAGGGGCTCCTTTCTCAGCCATTTTCTCTGGATAATGATTGGGTAAATGATTCAGTACCACTAGCCTTCCTATACTATTCTCCTAAATGTCTCCCCAAACACATCCACTCTAGGTGACCTTGTCTGTCCCAGGAAGCAGATTGAATGAGCTCTATCAGCTCCTGAGAGAGCTGAAAGGATTTGCTGTCTGTCAGACTGCTTGCCTGAGGCCTGGAGATGGGAGCTGGGTCTTTCAGAAAGCGCTATGGCTCATGGGGTAGGTGGCAAGACCAGCTGGATATAAGGTGGGTGGGGTGGGGCACTGAGCTCAGGGTCTCTCTTTGTTCAGAGCACAGTGAAGTCAGGGCAGGAAAGAAGGCAGGGGCTGGTCTATCCTGTGTATCAAGACTGCTCTTGGCAGCCACAAGCAAAATTTTCAGTGCAGGATAGGGGAGATCTGAATCACTGTGCCTCTCCCAGACAGCGCAGTAATACACACCAGAATCAGTATCTTCTAGAGTTTTGATTAAAAGTCCACAAGTCCTTCCTGTGACTTGATAAACATGGTATTTCCATGAATTGAAACCGGATACTACCCGAAAGTATGAGCTGGAGAAGCAGGAGTAGAGAAGATGTTGTGGGGCCGTCCCCTCCTGGTATCAGTACCAGTGGGCGATGTCGCTGCTTTGTTTAATATCACAAGTGATTACAGCAGATGATCCAGCCTGTCTGGTGACTGACATCTGTCTCCCTTTCATGTTGGAAGATACCTGAGTTGCTGTATGGGGAACCACAAAAAGCACTAAGAAAGAGGTGACTAATTCCTCAGTATGGCCTCCCATTGCCAGAAAAAAAGAAAAATCCCAGGAGCGTGGAGGCAGCA